GATGATTTTTCACAAGCTGGGTGGTTTAAACTCGGTGACCTACTGAAGACAAGCAAGTATGAGCAAACATATTCTTAAAATGATTTAATCTATAATATTACTTAATTATATTAAATTAAAAACCTTTATAAATTAAATTATAATATTGAATTTTCTCACAGTCAAACAAATTAAAATACTACCTTTGTAAATTATATTATAATATTTATTTTTTTAATATTAAAAACCTTTATAAATTAAATTATAATATTGAATTTTCTCACAGTCAAACAAATTAAAATACTACCTTTGTAAATTATATTATAATATTTATTTTTTTAATATTAAAAACCTTTATAAATTAAATTATAATATTGAATTTTCTCACAATCAAATAAATTAAAATACTACCTTTGTAAATTATATTATAATATTTATTTTTTTAATATTAAAAACCTTTATAAATTAAAAAAAAATTATCTTTGATAAAAAATACTTAACTAATTTTTGAAGAACATGCAGGGACTCCTCGCCGGCAACTCCTCTTCAATGTAACTTGAATGGAAGCTCCGATTGAAGTACATGCAGGGACAAANAATTATCTTTGATAAAAAATACTTAACTAATTTTTGAAGAACATGCAGGGACTCCTCGCCGGCAACTCCTCTTCAATGTAACTTGAATGGAAGCTCCGATTGAAGTACATGCAGGGACAAAATTAAAATTAGACATCATATAAATCAAACAACATGCAGAAAAATACAGAGAGAAAATTACCTTCAGAGGAGATTGCATATCGAACTACTCTTGCATGTAGCTGAAAATACAAAAAACTAGTACTAATAATCAACCGAAAAATAGTAATAATCCACAGCTAAAATACCTTCAGAGGAGGTCAGATGTCGAACTACTCTTCAACCACTTTTGCATGTACCTGAAACTTGAAGAACAAAGTTAGAGAATATTCAAAAAACTAGAAAGATTAAACACAGAGACATCAAACAATACCAGATCCGTCGCATGCATGGAGAGAGAACTCAAAACTCGTCAAGATCGATCAAGATGCGTGGAGAGAACTCAAGATCCGTCAAGATCCGTCAAGATCCGTCAAGATCCGTCGCTCAAGCATCCACCGGACGATGGAGGGTCCTCTTCTCCGGTGGTAAGAGTTTCAAGAATCATCTCACAACAAGATTCTTGTCACAGCTTTCGGGAGAAGAAGAAGAAGACCCATCACCGTCCGGCGGAGCCTTTGCGAGTCTCGCCGATCTCGTCTCCTTCTCTCACTGTCACTCTCTCTCTCTCTCTCTCTCTCTCTCTCTCTCTCTCTCTCTCTCTCTCGCTCTCTCTCTCTTTTTGTTTTTTCAGGTCGGCTGAAATGGAGTGGAGTCAAGGAAGCGGTACTTAGGGCGAACCGCGGTCTTCATTGGGCCGTCCCGCAAAAAGCCCATCCCGTGAATGACCCATCCCGCTAGGCCCGCAATTCTGCAGGATACCAAATCCTAGGCCCAAACCCGCCCCGCCACAGGTTTTAACGGGCCTATCCCGCGGCCCAAGTCCTACTTTGACATCCCTACATACAGCTCACGTGTTCGGGTCAAGTTAATCGTTTTTTTAATTTTTTTTTCCTTTTAGGTTAAATGAAATGGAAATTACGAAATAACCTTGTCTTCTCCATCAAATCTGCGATTTCCCAGTTCTATTTACGGCGACCAACTTTTTCTTTGGGCGATTTCCATTGTTTCTCCTGCTAACCATTATATATTTTGATCAAATATATCAAATCTATTACAGAACATTCAGTTTCGGATTCTAAAGTTACCAAAATGATGATTTCTACAACTTTTCTGATTAAGTGAAAGCGTAAGGCAAAATCGCGATGGCTCCCGGCTGCACAACTTTTTTTCGACGACTTTCCAACTGCCTAATCCGGGTTTTTGAACAGGTAAACGAAAATAAAAGTCAACATTCGATTGCATAATGAAGCAATCTCTTCTACTGTACGATTTAACATTCTAATACATTTGATTGATAAAAAATTAGTCGATAAGAAGTAGTAGAATATGAGAGAGGATGACTTATATAAATCTTTTAAAAGTGCCATTGTTAGACGTTGGTTTGGGGAAGACAAACAAAATCAATTCTACCACAAAACATTTATCTTGAGAAACATTATTTTTAATTGTCTATAGAGAACCAAACAAATAAATCAATTTTGAGAATCTGGGTGGAAAGGTGAGAGGAGATGAGAAAACGATGGAGCCTGGAGGAATGAGGTTTTAAAATCACCCACATATATAGATTGCTAAAGGGTGCTTTAGACAAGGGTTGTGTTGTTTGGTGAAGGAAACGATTCGGTGAAAGATCAAAAAGCATGGCAGTTTTTTGTTTTGTTTGATGACGTAAACTATTAATAAAAAGAAGATTCATAGCCCTTAGATCAAAAAAGTCAAATAAAACTGACTGTTGGATTTAAATTTTTTTTTCCTATAAAAATTTGATGACGTCAACTTGACTTTGCTATTATATATAGATTTGAAATTTTAGAATTTTAGAATTTTTATATAATTATCTATACGTAAGGATCAGAAACAATTGTAATTAGAACTGTAGATCAAATCTTAGAATTTAATAGACCAAATTTCATATATCTTTTCACTTTTCAGTGTTCGAGTGATGGAAAATAAACTGAGTGTCATTGGACTTGATTGGTAGAGTATTAGCAAGTTCCCTAATGGCTTTTTAAAAAGCACTTCGTAAAATATTTGCATTTAAAATATATAAAGTTTCAAAACTAATTTAACATAATTTATTTATTTGTCTAATAATATTAGAAAATTATATTTTTAAAAAATTATATTTTTTAAAATAATTTTATATGAAATTAAGTCAAATTTTAAATTATTTTTAAAAACAATATTTAAAAAATTTCAAATACAAATAAACAACTTAAAATTAATGATGGTCATGATTTAATATAACCATAATGATTTAAAAAATAAATAATTTAAAAATTAAAAATTAACTCAGTTTTATATCATGATTTAACAATTCAAAAATTAGTTATGGTTATGAGAAGTTTACGTTCACGTGTCAATCCTATTTATCTTCAATTTTTTTCTCTTGTTCTGTTTTTTTATATTTTGGTTATTACTCGATATAAATATTTATTTTGAAATTTATTCTCATTTCCTTTGTTTGTTTTGACCTGGGATTTAGAAAATACTTAAGATTTAAAATAATTAAAGATATACATACTTAGGTTAAGATCTACACTTCATGCACAATAAGTATTTTACATTTATTATTTATTTTATATTTTTCTGCATATTATAAACTAATAAAATAACTAAAAATTAGTTACTATTATGTAATAAATTGGCGTATGCATATAAATTTAACTATCACTCTTGTTTATTCGCAATTAGGGTAATTGAATCAAAATAATCAATCTTATATGTTGTATATGATATATAATTAAATATAAATGATATAAATATAGTAATATAGCACACTTTTAATATATATATTTATTAGATGAAGTTTCTACTCATATGATTTTATGATTATTTGCATATTTGTATAACAAAACTTTACACCAACAAATTTTTTTTCAATGTAAGATGTTTAGTAGTTTCAATAATTTATAATAATTTTTAAAAAAACAATGACATATTTCAAAATTAAAATATTAACTTTTCAATATATGTTCAAAGTAAGTATCAAAATATAAGTATGTATTTTCATACTATGTATAATTTAATTAAAACGATATGAAATATATATAAACCAAATTATTTCTTTATATGGTTTTATAATCATTATACTTTATTATAGAAAAAAATTAAAACCATTATCCTAAAAGTTTATGTGAGACTTTTAACAGTTTTAGTAATTTATACTTATTTTGAAAAATTCGAAATACAACATGTACAAAAAAAAATCTAGATTTTTATTATATGATTAATGCAATTGTGTAATTTATTTTAATAATAAATAAATAAACAAAATGAGAAAAGTATACAGATTGTTTTCAAATATTTATTTTTGAAAATCATTAATTGTCATATATATATATATATATATATATATATATATATATATATATATATATATATATATATATATTTTGAATCACATTAACTAATTCCGTAGGTTTTATTTACGGAAAGCATGCGAAACAATAAATATTTGATATATGCGACCAACTATAACCTACGATATATTAAATTGCTAAAAAGTATAATTTTTAGACTATATATTATATCACATGCTCTAGAATCCTTGAGATTTGAAATAGAAGTCAAAGGGGTATGCCACATAGGATTGAAGTTATTTTTAATTCTTACAAACTTAAGGTTACAATTTTTTAAATGATTCTCAAATAATATATAGGGGATTAAATATTATTCTTTCACTCTTGTTGTTGCTGTTGTTTTTGGATCAATTGCTTTGTATATGTTTTTTTTTTTTGTAACCTAATTCTTGTGTATATGTTGTTGGTTAGATACACAAGAGACTCATAGTCATCTATCGTCACATACTCACATGTGAGCTCTGGAATCATCGTCATGTTAGTGACATTTGCACGTCTTACGGATTACGGTATACATAGGTTTAGCGTGAAGCACAATACTCCTTACTTACTTCTCCCTTTTTAGTTACATTTTCCATTTTGTGTTGTTACTTTCTGTAGAGTTTTTAAAAGTATCATTCTTTTATAAAAAAAAACTTAGTTTACAGAAGATTCTAAAAGCAAAAAGAAATTCGATAACTTTAGCTCCTCAACAGACTTCTTTACTTGCCGCGTGCTAGTGTTGACGTTTAACCAACCCTCGCACACACTTGAGGCCAGCTACCTTACAAAACCAAAACATTTGCTCAAAAAGGAGAGAGCAGAAGGTAAAACATGAGAGATGATGGGCTTTTAAATAATGGGCCTAAACCCAATAAAACGTAACTACATCGATACGATGGCGTCTTGTTACTCCTCTTCTCTTGAGTTATTTAGCTAGTGGACCGGAGAAGACAAGACACTAGTGTCTGGTCAGAAATTCTTCAGTTTCCACTTATCGATTTCTGGATGCTTTCTCTCTGATTGAAAGGTAAATTTTCTGTTTCTTTTGCTTCTCGATACGTAAAAAGAAGAAGACTTTTGAGATTCCGGGTTCTTTGATCCACCTAAGATTAATTTTGGTGGCTAGGTTTTAAATTATCGCTGATTGGATTGTTAAAGAACTTTTCGCGTACGTAGTAACTGAAATTAATGACCTGTCCTGAAATTTTGGATCACTGATATGTGATCTTATTCAATACAATTCAATTAAGATTCATATGCTTTTTCAACAACAAGTTAGCTCACGATGATGCTGATTTCTTTGAAAGATGGAATATTGCCAATTCCATAGATGGAGTAGCATTGTTAAGGTTGAACATTTGCAATATTAGTGTGTTTATGTTTTATTTTAGGTGATGTCTCTTGTAGATTGTTGTGTGATATAATACTCTATATATATAGGCCAAGGTGCTTTTATTATTGGTGGTTTTCAAGATGGGGAACAAAGCTACAACAACGGTGAAAGAAGAACGCGAAGAGATCCACTTGAAGGTTGTACCTTCGCTGGACAGGACTTTTGTGCGTTGGCTTGCAAGGGATCTACAGAGAGTTCAAGGATTCAAACCGAAGAACATTCGTGCTATCACTCCTCCTGATAGCTACATCGAGTTCATGAGGTTGAATGGATCGCTTGATGTGGATTTGGATGACCCTGATCTCGCCCATTTGTTCAAGTAAAACAAAAGAGGTTCTTTCTTTTGGTGGCTGTGTTTGTTTAATATAGTCTCGAGCCTTTTTTCTTTAAGTCTTAGTGTCTCTTTTTGATTACTCATACTTGAGCTTGTGTTTTAAATGGGATATAAATGTCTGCATTTAGATAAACAAATGTTTCTTATTAAATTGTCCTGGTTGTTCAAAATCCACTCAACATGTTCTTTTTTTTTTTTTAATCTCTTATCATTGCCAAAAGTTCTATGAGCTGGATTTAATTTGGATTTTAAGTCAAATCTCAAAACAGAAATAGTTTTCTGTTGTGAGTAATGGTTTCTTTCTGGGTCAAAATATCATTAGCGTTCATCTGCTCTGTTTCTGGGTCAACCTATCACTTCTATTAATTAAATTGACAAAATTCAGATCAATTCAAACTAGAGAGAGAGGGAGGCTGTGGTTTTGGCTTAACCGGTTTGGAATCTTTAATCACTTATTCAGTAACTCTAATCAATAACAATCAAACAAAACTTTGGTATTGTTGAGAAATGATGGTTGGGACATATCCGGAAATGGACCAGACCACATCAGTCTCACTTCAGTCCAAGACCAGGCGACAAGCACCTTATCCTTATCCATACCAGGCGGCCAAGACTTGTCATTATCCTCCCTTGTATTTATCCATATGTTGTAGTTATCCTAATCATTATAGGATTAGGATAATCATCCCCTTTAT